AAATCAGCATCTCTTCATGCCAAAACACAAGTTTAGATCTTACAAATCCTAACATTTGTAAATACCATAAGATCTATTCTACATATGTACAAATATTAGAAAATAACATCAACTTACTTGAATGGCATAACAAAGTGTGTGTGGGCCCATAACCTATTGAAGAAATAGAATAAGCAAGAAATAAGTAAGTAGAAATTAGAAATGTTGTACATAAAAAAAATGTGGAATGAGATATATTTCACTTCCAACATCCTTTACTTATAGAAGGAATTTACATCTATTGTAGTTGAACTTCATCTATAATCATGTCCATCCATCTTTAATTCATCCAACTAAACCCTAGATTCTTCTTAACCTAGCTACCACATTAGTAACTTATTTTCATTCTTTTACTATTCTTTGACTATAAGCAACTTATCTAAGATAATTATATCTTATGCTTACTTCAATAAACCTTAATATTATCTACATATTATATTATAACTAAATTATACATCTTTTAAGCATGAAATGTGATTTTTTATATTAAGACTAAAAAAAATAAGAATAAAAAAGATATATTATTTTATTAAAATTCTTTCATAAATTATTTTTATAAATATTTAAATATATATTAAAAGAAAAAATCAAAATATAATTAGTTTTAGAATATTAAAATTTTAATTCAATAAAAAAATATATATATTACTTATAAATTAGATATATAGTTAAAAATTAGAATTGAAATAAGAAATTAGTTGTATAAAAAAATATTGCTATAATAAATTATAATAATATAATAATTAAATATAAGAATTTATTAGATATGTTACATATAAATCAAAGAATTTAAAAAATTCATTTTTATAGAAGCAAAGAAAAGAATAAATTCAACACAAATATTATAAGTAAGTCTATTTAAGAAGCAATAAGTAAGAAGTCTCAATATTTAGTATTAATAAGGTGTAAATAAAGAAAAAATTTGGAATAAGATAACTTTTACTTTTAAGATCTTTATTTTATACAAAAGAGATTATATTTAATGTATATAAAATTCATTTGTAAATATCTTTATTCTATGCTAGTTGATTTAATTAAACTCTATTTACTTCATAACTTAGCTATTGTCAAGCTATTTAAAAGTTAGCATGTTAATACATTGAAAAGGTTGATCTTACATAGAAGTTGGATTTACAATCCAAAAACAATGCATAAGATATTTGAAAATATTTTTTTGACAATCCTAAATAATCTAAGTAAGCTTCTAATTATGCTTAAGTGAATCTTATTGATGTAAGAAAAATCCTAGAAATATCTTATCATTTTAATTAATTCTATAAAAAATCTTAAATTATCTTTAATAATCTTCATTAAATCCCTAAAAAATATTAATTAATAAAATAAATTATTAAAAAAAAATTCTAAAACAATCCAATCTAATTTTAAAGAAATTTTAAATAAATCTTGATTGAATCCTAATCATATTCTAAGTTAATCTTGAAAAAAATCTAATTAAATTTTTAATAAATTCTAATAAAATTCTAATAAAATTTCAATCAAATATCAAGTAAATTCTAAAAAATTTCATTAAATCTTAATCTACTTCTAAAAATTCAATATCTTCCAAAATTTTCTTATCCGAATTACTCTTATTGAACAATGGCTTATTATTATATATTCAACTTTTACAATTAATCTTGGAATAGTTGATTATTTCTTGTAACTTAGTAAAAGGATTTTAATTTCAATAAAGAACACATATTCTATTGTAAAACTTCTATTATTTATATCTGTAGCCCAATCAATGTTAAAAATTTATTATAAATTAATATTCTTATAATCAAGGTGCAATTTGATGTATATGGTGTTGTTTAACTATTATCTTTATAATTATTATTTGATGCAAAGGTTGAGTCTTAAACATAACGTTGCTTACAACACTCACAAAAAATACAAGATCCATCCTTATAGCCATCATTGCGTACATAAGTAAGCCTATTACTTTCTTATATATGATTCTTTGCATCTTGGTTTTAACGTGTGCAAACTTTTCATCAATAAACTTTATTAACTTTTATATTGCTTCAAAAAAAAACTCTAATTGATATGTTAAATTATTTTGGCACCTTTGTAATATATTTTTTTTGGCTCATTATGATGGTGAATCATGGACATTCACATTTACTAGTTTGTTTATTTAAAATAAATAGACTTAAATGTAATAAGTAATAATAAATAAGTAGCTTCTTTGAAGCTTTGTAAACAAAGATTTGACTTTACAAGTTTAAGTAGGCAATTAGTAGGTTGAAAAATTACTTATTGAAGTTTTTTTCAAATAACTTTAAAAATTTTTATTATATTTATAAGATATTTTTAACTTTTAATTTTTAAATTTGGTTTTTTAAATCAATACTTGATAAAATAAAACCTTTAAAAATTTCTTTGTTATAATGGTGTTTTAAAGAAGAATCTCTTTAAATAACACCAAAATAATAGCTATAGATAAAATAAATTATAAAAAAATAGAAATAATAAAATCCAAATTAAAAGTCTTTATTAATTAAGAAAATATCATAAAATTTTTAAAATTTACATTAATTTTACAAATTCTTTGAATTAATCCTTTCACATAATTTTTTTTCACTAATATTATTATTCACTTCCTTTGCAATATATCAATCTTTTTATATTTGAATAATTCTAAGAATTCTTAAATTTATAGATTTTTTTATTTATAGATTTATAAATTCTAAAAAATTATAGATCTATAAATCTATAAATATATAAATTAATAGATGAATCTAACAGCCTATGAATCAAAAATTAAAAAATTAAAAATTTATAGATTCTTAGATTCATAGATTTTTATTGATTATTGAAAATATCAATCATCTTATTGATGCCTTAAAACCTATGAATCAAGCTCTAAAAATTTTTAAGTCAATATTCTAAGAAGACCTTATTATACTTCAATTTTTAATTTTTTAAGTTTTAATTTTTTAATTTTTAATTTTTTTATCTTCTTTCATATTATTGCTTTATAAACTAGTATACTTTAGCTTTCTTCTCATACAATCAAACTATCAAGAAGCATTTTTTTCAAATAAAAAATATAAAAATAAAAAAATATAAATCTTATTTTATGAAGCCTTAATCTCTTTTTCTATAGTAATTTCTTTGTTTTTATAAGCAATATAATCTTAATTTTGCAGGATTCTTTTTTTAAGTTTTATATTTTTATAACTTTATACAAATTCCTTGCATAACAAATAATTTATTTCTAAATTTGATTTATTTGTATGTTGATTTGAAATATACAAAGAAAAGAATAATTTTTACAATTGATTTACAATTTGCTTGGTTAATAAAATTTCTTTAAATATTATCTTATATTTAAGAATATGTATATAAAATATTTATTTTTTTAATAATTTTAAAAATAATATATTTTTTATTTGAAATAGTTTTTAACTATATTTTTATCTTTAATATTTTTATTCTTGTAATTAAGCCAACTTTGAGTATATGTTCTAAAGTGTTATTTTTATTCCACAAAGTTGTAGATTTTGTTGCAATTTCATACATGCTCTATGTCGTTTTACTTAATCTTTGTATTTATTTTAGTAGAATCAAATAAAACTTTAAACTTTCTTCAAAAATATTCTTATATGTTGGCCTATATCCTTGATATTTTATCAATTACTTCTAAATCATTGTAAATATAAATGCCTATATATATATTTAAAAACATTAGAATAATTTATTTTAAAATATAATTGGTAGGTAATCAAATAATATTAATTTTTTAGTCTAAAAAGTTGGTTAGAATTGATGTTAATTAGATATTTGATGCATACAACTTAACCACCACTAGAAACTATTTAAATCAGAAACAATAGTTTTTTATTTTTATTTTTTTTATTGAGGGTTACATATTCAATTATTTAAATTTTAAATTTTTTTAATGTTGGATTGAAAATATAAATAGAAAGTAGCATCTAAATATTAAATAGAGAAAAAAATGTTTATATATATATATATATATATATATATATATCAGTAGCATTATTTTTAAGAATATTAGATTAAAACCGAGTAGCTTAAGTATAATGTCTTCAACTGTAAGATTACTCATCTCATTGTAAAAATAATATTTTTATTTTTTTAATAAAAATAAATAAATAAATATATGCATATATATATATATATATATATATATATATATATATATCTATATGAAGAAAAGAAGGGAAAAAATGAATATCTATTTATCTATCTATCAATATATTCGATACTAAAAAGATATGCTATAAGAAAAATTTAAAAAATTGAAAGACCTTTACATAGAAAATATATCATGTATTATTTTTTTTAAAAAATGTAAAATATTATTAGGACGATTAATGTTTTTTTTAGAAATGGTTTTTAGTAGTAATCTAGCTAAAATAAAAATGATACACTACATATATATTAACACATGTACCGACAAGATTTAGATACTCTTACACAGATTTTTTTTCTTTTTCTTTGTAGATGAGGTTCAATGGTTAAATATTCGAAATAATTTAGGATTAAAAAAATGTTCAGATATTAATGCAACATTTATGAACATTGGTTACATAAATATTGATGTGATAAATATCACTAACCCCACTGAAGTAATCAACTTTTTGCAATAGAAAAAAATGTCATGTATATTCATATTCAATTTAAGGCAGCTTTTTAAGATACAAAAGAAAGGAACAAGAATTCATTCATCTACACAGATAAGAATTTGTTCATCTATCATCCATTCTATCATCATCCATTCTTCGCATGGGCTCAGACAACAACGCCAGATGTGAGGACAATGATTTATTTACACCATCCAACATCGGCCAGGTTCGGTCCACTAGGTTTGGAACCAAACCCAAAATTAGTAACGGTTAGGCGACCCCCGTGCCGATCGCGTGAGCTATTCCGAGCCTGCGTGGCCCTAGCCGTGGGCCCAGACTTACGTCGTTGTGGCTTGCAGATTGTCCTTCGTCGGGGCACAACTCGGAGTTCGGAGGTACCGAAATCAGGGATAGAATTTTCCAACAAAAGCTCGCACTTGAGCAATTTCCAATCAATGTTGCAAAATCTGCAGCGCTACCTTCGTCTGCGCAGAAGCCCACTGCGACCCATTTGCGGCGTTGCGAAAAATTAGAGATGATAGCTCGTATTCCTGCTTTGCGGAGCGACTGAATCTGGTCGTTTGCGGGGAGTATGCGTTTGGGCGTGGCGGAATGGCGAGATTGAGCCGCATTGCGTTGCTCGCGCTGTTGGGCACTCTGTTGCTCGTGGGTTTTGTGGGACGGTCGATAGCGGTGTCGTTGGTCGACGAGGAACAGCAGGGGATCGCCCCTGATGAGGACTCGAGCGATGGGGAGGAGGACGCTGAGGAGTTCGTAGATGAGAAGGATGTGGTTGTGTTGGGTTCGACAAGTTTTGCCGATTTTGTGAAGGGCAACCAGCTCGTGTTGGCAGAGTTTTACGCTCCCTGCTGTGGGCATTGTCAATCTTTGGCGCCCCAGTATGCTAAAGCCGCCACGGCGCTGAAGGATTCTGGAGTGAAGCTCGCTAAGGTTGACGCTACTGTGCACAGCGAACTAGCTGAGGAGTATGGCGTTGATGGATACCCTACATTGGTCCTCTTCGTCGACGGGGAGAAGAAGCCCTATATCGGAGGACGGAGCAGGTCAGATTATGCACAGCTGGATCGATCATGTGTTGCTTGAAAGTTGGCAGCTTTCGGCGTTTTTTTCCATTTTCGTAATGGTTGCGCTAGTTGGTTCTCTCGAAGGTCGCTTGAGTTCTTTGCCGGGTAACTTTATCTTCCTGAGTTTGCCAGAAGTCTTCTCATAGTGCTCATGAGTAACTATATTCTTGTGAATTGCATCGGATTGATACAATTGTTGATACTCCCGCTTGAATCTCAATGCTAGGTCACACTCTCTTTAACTAAGAGCTATCCGTTTTCATATCTTCTAGATATACGCAGCTCAGAAAGTCTATTGAGTGTTCATCCTGGATATTTCTCTTACCAGTGTATTAGAACGGAACAATTAAGGTATGATATCAGATTCTTAAGGTACTACGAATGGTATTTTCTTACTACAGTTCCCGAGAAGATAAAGGCTTTGTCTACTCGTTTATGTATTTCCTGGACGCGTGGAATCTTTGTTTTTTGTTGACGTAGGTTATTTATTCGCGTAATGCGAGTAATACTTTGACTGTGGTAGGACTTTAGCAAGATACATGCCATTTTATGTACGTAGCGTCATTTCCTGGTCTTTCTTCATCCAAAAGTGATTGTCAATGATAGTGTTAGATTCAAACACGAGCCGCTATCAACCCTGGTTACGTTTGGAGTCAGAGAAGTTAGTTTAGAGGAGCTTTTATTCACCTCCAGTTACTGATTGCAGCGACGAGATAATCACATGATTAAAGAAAAAGACGGGACCTGCAGCCAGCATTATCAAGTCAGTAGCTGAAGCTGATGAATTGTTGAAGAGCAAGACCCCCATCGCTGTTAGAGGGTGCCGACGCTGAGGAGTTCCTTGCAGCAGCGAGGTTGCAGGATGGAGTCAATTTCTATATAACTTCTAATGAAAAAATTCCCAAGAATTTTGGTCTTGACATAGAGGCTCCTGCTCTTGTGTTACTGAAGCAGCAAGTTGAGAATGTTGTAATTTTCGGTACAAGAAGTCACATTCTGAGGATTGCATATGCTTCGCCTCTGCACCAATGATTAGCTGGTCGAGGGTAAATGATTTAACCCGAATATAATCTAAACATGGTTAACTGATTTGTGCACAGATGGATCTTTCAAGAGGAAGGCCCTTAGCGACTTTGTATCAAAGAACAAGCTCCCCCTCGTCGTTCCGTTCACACGTGAGACATCAGACGCTATTATTGCATGTTTCGTTGCAGCAATTCTCAGAGAAGTTTGTGGCTGAGGAACTCACCCCGGTACGCAAGTCGGAAAGCGCACCGGAGGAGGTAATCCACATATTTTGAAGGGTTTTTTAACCTTATTGTCGATTTCCTGGTTCCGTATCATGTGAGTGCTCCATTTTAACATGACTTTTGTGTAGTTTGCTTAGAGCGAAGCTAATGATTGGTGGAAGCGTGTATGCAGAACAATGGACCTGTGAAAATTGTTGTAACTTCAACTTTTGAATAGATTGTTCTAGATGAATCCAAGGATGTCCTTCTTGAGGTACTAGTTCAACATAAAACCTCTTTTAGAGCCTTGGCTCGCGTTGATATCATCGCGAATAAGTTCAAATAATCGTGAAAGTACATATTGCCAGTAATTTCTTTTTCTTTTTCTTGATACTGAAGAGCACACTTGATTCAGAGATGGGCCTACTTCCTACGTTTCACTTCTCCACCTTCACAGGTCTACGCCCCATGGTTCGGTCACTGGCAATCTCTGGAGACCGAGTACAACAAGCTGGGAGAAGCTTTGAAGAACATCAGCTCCATTGTGATTGCGAAGATGCATGGCACCAAGAATGAGCACGAGCGCCTCAAGGTAGTCCGAACCACTCATTCGATTTCTAGTCAGTAACCTCTTTTACATAATTGGGGGAGCATTTTTGTGAGGATCGTTTTGCCCTAATATATATATCGCATTTTGGAATTTTGTTTACAGATTGAGGGATATCCTACCATTTTATTCTTCCTAGCAGGAGACAAGAGCGCTGAGCCAGTAAGTCTTTCTCCTCAAATAACTTCTCTAAGTTCATGAATGTCCCTGTATACATCCATGAACTTATTGACATATGCCAGTGACTTGTGTCTGTGACTAAAATGAAGCTATTGCAATTTCAGATTTCACTTGACACGGAGAGGACAGCAGCGAGCTTCATCAAGTTCATGAAGCAACATGCTACACATCCATTTGAAGCGCCGATGTCCTCGAGCCCGAGCCCGAATCTGACGACTACTCTGAGGAAGTCGACGAAGAATCTGAAGGTGAAGACGGCGATGATGAAGGTGGAGAAGACGAAGGTGAATCTGATGAAGAAGGTGAGGAAGAGGGGAAGGAAGAGGCTAACGAGCACGAAGCAACTCCCGCTGAAGATCTTGAGGACATCAAGGATGAACTTTAGAATTGCCACTCAAAGATACATGCATTAGCATTAGTCAAATCTTGAGTAGCGTTAGCTTAGAACGCACATTTAGAGAGTCCCATACTTGTCACTGCTTCTAGCTGTCAAATAGATTTTTCTTGGGTGCTGGGTTTGCCACGCTCAAGTGTGGTTTATTAAGCCTTAGAAAACAGGCTACCAGGACCACCATGTCATTTGTATCCTACCTCCAAACTACCCACTCCTGGACAAATGTCCTCAATTTTTAACCTTATGGAGTTAATCAATTTAAATTCTTACAGAATGTGATCCTCTTTGCATTGGAACTTGGGCATTTTTTTTGGTGACTTTTTAATTGTCTTAATCGAAGTGAATATTCATTGTCGTTCTCATTGATCAGTCCAGCGGGAATAGAATGATTCTGTAACGATATGTTATCCTCAAGCTTACAATTTTTTCAAACTGATGGTCAAGCAATTGTTCTGAATGAGATGATTCTTGGAAAAAATGCACGTTGTTAGGCAGATACTTTTGTGTATGTTACTTGTGAAGAGCCACATGCGAGGGAAATATAATCGCTTTGTTTTTCACAAATAGTCCCAATGTTGGCACAACATACATGGATATATGCTCTTGGAAAGAATGTGGTTATTGAATGTAGCTTTGTAGGTTGATTGGAATAAGAATATATATAAAAACACTTGCTGTAAAAACTAGAAGGTCAACCTTAAGTTTGTTTTTTTTTGTAAACTGAGGTGGCATTTTACTGCTGTGAAGTACATGAACTCCAGAACTATGAGTATGGTGCCTTGAGAGCGGATTTGAAAGATTTGTGAAAAGGGAGAGACATTCCCGAAGCAATAGAGGGGTCGTTATTTGGACCCATGAGCTGACGACGTCATAAAGAATCTGTTCCACGCTGCACATTTTGCAACCCACGCAAGTTACGCTTCAGCACTATTGTTGCAGTGCATTTATTTAGAGCATGTAGACAGTCACGAAAAGTCATTAGTCTTATCCTCTGAAGTATACTTGTCCATTTTCAAGGATCTCGTGGACTGAAACGACAAAGCGCCCCGCAAGGTCGGGTTCTGAAATCTCGCAATTCCACTGTCGTCATTGCCACGCTTAGTCGCTTTTGCATTGCACCTCTGAAATCTGTGAGATGCATGAGAACCTCGCGAAATGAGCCTCCTCAGAACTGATTATTTCACTATAGAATACGCACTTTTACTTGTCCTTTTGAATAAAGCTAGTTGTACTTTCCACAGAAGACCATACTAAAGCACATTGCCAAGCGTATATAGTTCCGTGGCCACAGCACAATTATCAACAACCTCTTTGATCTATTGTGACCAGAGGAGTTGTTAGAGGTGCGAGATGGGGTCTTCAGGGAGAGCTTGCTGCTCGATTTTGATGCTGATGGTGCTGCTGGCTGTGCCAGCTCTTGCGGGAAAAAGTTGTAATTCTAAGAGAGTGGAGCATACGGCCACATTTCTCTCCCCTGGCATGAAGTTCCGTCCCGGCGATGTGAAGATCAAGTACTTCAACGTTGATGCACCAGCAGAATATTTCGCTACTGTGGATTTCAATGCGGAGCTCGTGTGGGAGAATGGAGAGCCGGTCCTGCAATCGGACATGTACCTCCACCACTGGAGTATGTTAGAATATGCAATTCCTGCGGGCGCTGCGAAGCTTGTTGGGAACGAGTTGCTAGAGGAGGTGAAGAGGAGTCCACCTCACGTGTACCACAGAAAACCTTGGGATGGGGTGGGGCGAGAGTTGAAGCAAGCATGGGCGATGGGAGGTGAAAGCCGTCATCTCAACTTCGCCATGCCTGCTCCATACGGGCTAGAATGCGGTGGCGATGGCATCAGCACCCAATGGGTGTTGAACGTGCACGGGGTCGACATACGTGGTGCAGTACACAAGACAGGGTGCTACGAGTGCCAGTGAGTCTAATTCCCCTTCCTCATTGTGTAGCTCTAACCTGTTTCCGATTGTAAGACTCTGGCAAGAGCTTTCTCATTTCTTGCTCGAAGTTCTTGTTTCTAATACATGGTATAACTTTTGTTCCGAAAACGCTATATAGGTTTCTTTGTTGCAACGGAGGGTATGCGTTGGTTACTGTATACGTGAAATCTGGCGGTCGTTGTTCCACTAAGAGTAATGACTTTTTTTTTTGCTAATATAGGATCTTTATGAAGTACGGCATTGAGTCTGGTACGAAGATTTTTGTAGGAATTCCATGGATTTGGTAGTGAATTTACCAATGATAAATCGAGAATTTCCTGTGATTTTTATTCAATGACGTTTGGTGCAGGTGTAATTCTTTCACCGGTTACGACGCCAATTTGCCAGATGGTTACTTAGGGGGAATGAAATGCTGCCCCGATGGAGCTAGGTGCTTGCTCAGGGACGACTTTAATGGTGATGATGCATTGATGGAACGGACGGTGCATTTGAAGGTAACCGAGAAGTATAAGGAACCCTTCGATTTTCTATCTTTATATATGTTCTTCTTTGTACACTCACGCCATTCTGAGAGGAGATACTTTTAACACGTACTTCATTCAAGATTTTTTCTTCCAGTTCTGGGATTTGTTTCTGAGCCAGTTTCAGCTGGCGTTGAAACATGTGCACTGCTCATTCTCCCTATAGCCCGGCTGAAGTTAGGCCTTAATGCAAAGTTTCTCAAATTGTCTCAAACATCTGTGTTTCTTTGTTTGTGGGTCCAGTACACTTGGACATATACAGCACTCGACGAGTGTGTTGTCCCACTTCAGCATGTCGGTTTGGATGTCCTTGGAGACGATGCAAACACAATAGAATACACCATCGAAGGTCATTGCAATGCCGAGGATTTCCTCAAGCCAGAATGTGTGGATGTTCGCGAGTCAATCATCGAAGCTGAGCATGGGGGCGACGTGGTCTACGTGGTCGCGCACTTGCACACCTACAGTCTGGGCTCAACGCTGTGGGGTGAAGACGGCCGCCTGATCTGTCGCTCCGACCCCGTCTACGGTGAAGGAAACACAGCAGGTAATGAAAGCGGTTACGTCGTCTCAATCCAGCACTGCAATCCTGCTCTCATGGCCGGAGAGTTCGGGAAGATAGCCAAGGGTGAGAAGCTCCGGTTCCAAGTGAGGTACTCAAAGGTGGATGGTCCTCACACCGGAGTGATGGGTGTTGCGTTCATGAAAGTCGCGGAGACCCAACTTGGCAATCCTGCTGCAATCCGCAGCATTACAAACTTGAGGATCTAGAGCTGATCTCCGGCGTGTTCTGTTCGCAGAAGATTGAATCTAGTAGTTTTGAAAGAAGTGATGTGGAAACCAGGTTGCTATTGTACAGTGTGTTGTACAGTGTGTTGCATAGTTAAGAGGTCCTAGATCGGTGTGGCATGTGTGTGTGTGAGATAGAACTTGTAGTGTTGTGTTTCAGTATGTTGATGCGTAAGCTGCTCAGAGTTTCAAGGAGCCCTGACACCGCTAAATACAGAATCGATGTATTGCATCAGAAAATGAAAAAAAATTGCGTGGTTGAAAGGATGGCACAATCTCCATGAGCTATTGTATGCTCATTATCTGTAATTTTAGCACCCAAGGGATTGTTCCAACCACAAATAAAACACGGAAATTGTAAGGTAATGAATCTTTCACTTACCAATAACACCAATTTTATAACATACTTACATTTGTAATGTATGTCAACAATTACAGAGACTAGACAACTTTAAATCTTTTATCAAAATAAATTTGTAACAACGTGTGATGTCCAATGTTGTTAAAAACATGCGACTATATGATAAAAATAATTGAAAGAATGATGAAGTAGAGAGTGCACAAACTAAACTTCCGAAAATAGCTAAAAAAAGATTGCGAACATATCCTTACAAATTACTGAAATGAAAATTTTAAGCACAAAATCACTGTAGAGAGCTATAATTGAATGTAATGATAAAGTAGTAAATAGAAAAGTATTATTTATAGCAAATCAAAAATATATCACTTTACAACTAAGGTGGCATTTAATTATATATCATTGAATGACAAATAAAAATATAACAATTCAAATGATTATTACCAAAATTACTATTTAACTTTTTACCATAGTTTTTAGTTCAAAACAATTGAATAGATAATAAAATGATTGGATTTTTCTATGTATTATTATTTAATATATAATTTTAATGCAATTTAACTATCGTAAAACTCACTATTTTCCAGTACTGTTTTAATCAAGACCTCTTTATACTTGTTTTGCACCAAGTGTACAAATATACAATAATTATAATATTGATAATAATAATAATAACTTCTTAAATTTATCAAATTTAAGATATTAGCTTTTCATATATTTTGAAACTCAATTAAAATAATTGAGTAAAAATTTTGAGGTTACAAACAAGACTTTAATAATCACATTAATGCAATATATTTTTATTATTCACAAAATTATGATTATTGAAACAATCAAGATTATATTTTTCATTTTTTAAAATTTAATAGTTTTAAAAATTAGAAATTAATCATATATATAGTTAGTATTAGTAAGTATACATTAAAACAATGCTATTTAGAAATTAACAACTACACATGTTACAATTTTGTTTATACAATTTTTAACCTTATTATAATATTTAATTTAAATATTTGAGAAATATAATATTAAATAGTATTTCAATTCAATATTTAATCTTTAAATAATCAAGCAAAAAATTACTCTTATACCTATGATTTTTAGAAGAAAATATATCTAATCTTAAATATTTTTTTCAAAAGTCCAAAGAAAAATCTATATTTATTATAATTTTAATTTACATCTAATCTAATTATACAAAATATAAAACAAACATCAAAATACATTGACTTTGAATTATAAGATTTTTAAACCTTTTTAGTTTTTTCATTTAATTTTCTTTTCTATAACCAGTTTAATCTTTTTTTAACAGTTTCAAAACATATTGTTAGTAACAAAGCTCCACAAGTCCAAATAAAAAAATATTTTAGATTGCCAATTTGACATGCATGCCAATAATAGAAAAAAGTCTAGAATCAAATTGTCATGGCACTAGTTGGAAGGCAGATTTTTTTAATCCTGCTACAATTAGTAGTTTCAACAAATTAAGCATAATTTGAAAATTTTAAATTTTATTCTGATTTTATGATGTTAGTTATGCATCTAAACTATGTGTTTTATTTAAAACTTATGGGATGGTATAAATTTAAATACCTTACTAAAATAATTTTTTATCTATTAATATACTCATGCATAAACAACTCAATTCTATTGTATGTTTTTAATATGACATTTTGATTATGTTATTTTAAGAAGATGTGAGTTTATAAATTAGATGAATTTAAATATCTTTTTAATATGACATTTTGATTATGTTATTTTAAGAAGATATGAGTTTATAAATTAGATGAATTTAAATGTAGAAGTTACTTTTTTTTTTAATTTTTATTTTCTTATATACAGAATCTTTAAAATATTTTAAATTAAAATTTTAAAGTTCTTATGGTACCATCATTTTATTATTTTTATAATATATATATATATATATATATATATATATAGATAGATATATGTTATGTGGATTTCTGAATGCTTTTAAATTTATTTTAAATGTTTTAGTTTGTAATAATTATCTCTAGATAAATTCTTACGAAATTTAATAATAGTTAATTTAAAAAAGATACAAAGTACAAGAAAGACTTTTTAGGTAAGTATACATACAAGTTTACATACTATATTATAGTGTAAACAGATTTTAATAATACAAATATAATAATTTAAACCTTGGTATTAGCTTTGTAATTAATTCACATATTGTTTTGTCTGGCATGTGTAAAATAATGGCATCATGAAATAAAATTTCTCAAAATAAAACTCTATATACCTAAGATTTAAAATTAAAAGTTTTTTCTATGGATTTTATATTGGACTTGTATGAAAAGAAGTATTTATATATAAAGAAAATTTTTTTTATTTTTTTTATTATTTTATTTTTTATACCCTCATGAAATATACCCAATGCATTAATGGAGTAGAAAAATTATAATAAACTACTTAACACCTTACAGTGATTCAAAAAATTGTTTCAATGTTGACATATTATGGAAAGAATGATGTATTATAGATGAATTGTAGTGAATAATGACACATGGTTCATATAGCAAATAAAGTACTCCTTTATAGCTACCAAATAAGCCTAGATTGAAAAGAATCCATTAAGTAATTGCGAAGCTATGACCAATATAATTTGGAGTAGCATTGAAACAATTTTTTGAGCATGGTATCTAATTTTTGGATTCTATCAATTACTTAATATTATAGCATTCTATTATCATCACATTTACTATGAAAATATTATTACTAATCTAATAACATCATTAATACTTAATAGCAACTATAAAAGTACCATTCTTAATTACAATTTCTAGCACGGACATATTCCAAATTACCACATTCTAGGACCTTTTAGAATTTTTTTAAAATTTCTAGAAACTTTTAGATACTTATAGAATCTTCTACAAACTTTTAGAAAGTTCCATAGGCTTCTAGAAGCCTCTTTAGACTTATAAAAACTTCTATAGAAAGTACCATAGACTTCTATAATCTTCATTATAGTATAAATAGAAGTCTTTGGAACCACTTTTGCTATCAATTTCATTCTTTGTTTTTAATCTTGACATATTTCTTTGTCAAATTCTTGTGTCCTTGACAATTCCTTGAATAACTATGAGATCCATTTCCCTCTCTTTCGATGATAATATCACCTTTGTTCTTCTTCATTCTCAAAAATCTTATGGCCAAATTACTTTTGAACTTGGCTCTCCTAATGCTACAATCTCTAGGCTAGAAAAAAAATATCACTTTTAATAGGGAGAACCTTAAATTAGGCAAATCAAAGAAACTCACTATAGTAGATGAAAAGAAAATCATTTGCCAAATCAATATTTGGAAGGCTTAAAATGCTATGAGGTTGCTAAAATCCTTAATAATATTATTAGTAATCATATGTCATCTCAAATCATTCAAAATGTTCTCAAGAAATGGAATATGAAAGCCGTGGTGAAAAAAAAAAAACCACTTCTATCTACCTGCTATTAGAAACAATGCTTGAATTTTGCTCTGAAGTACAAAGAATTGATTGTAAAGGATTAATAGAAGATTATTTGGTCAAATGAGACAAAATCAACAGATTTGGAATAGATGGCAAAAAGTTGATGTAGAAAGAAAAGCATCAGTCCTTGCTTGACAAAAAGGTCCAAGAAATAGATAAACATGGGAGTGGAAATATAATGGTATGAAATTGTATGGGATGGAATGGAGTTGGAATGATGGCAGAGATTGAGAGGAAGATGGATGCTAAGCAATTTAAGGAAATTCTTGAAAAAATCTTACTTCCTAACATTGAAGAATCTAACACTTCTGAGGACGAGGTGATTTTTCACCAAGATAATGATCCCAAGCATAATTCAAAACTAGCATGGAAGTGTCAAGGACAAGAACTCGATGAAAAAACAAATCAGACAAGTGAGCCTTCACTCAAAGAGAGATAACAAAATATATATAAACAAGTATATATATTGAAAGAGAAACTGGAATGGCTATTGCCAAAAGACAAGAAAACTAGAGACCCTTGAAATTAGACTAGAAGCAAGAAAAGAGTTGACAAGAGTGAAGAAGCCTTCACTCTTGTTTCTATATATACTATCTAACTAGGGGCTACGTGGCGACGTTCTATAGAACCTCCAACATGTGTTGACTTTGTAGGACACATGCCTTGACTTACAAGGCAAGTTTTTCTACGTGTGGGCCACATAGTTAGCTTGATCTTCAAGCTAACAACATGTGTGGCACATGGCCAACTTGTTGATCACGTTTCTAATCCAAAAAGTCAATTAAAGACACCTATGAAGTCAAAGCAACGTCTAAGAAGCTTCTAAGAAGCTTCCATATTAAATATTATAGAATTAACTTATTTTTACCTACTTTTACTTACTTCTAACTATTTGTATATGTAATTATTAGCTTACATGATTATAGCCGTGACATTATCCCCCCTTCTAGAGACGAGTTCCACGAGGAGCGGTTATCATATGTTGAGGAAATCTATGATGCGACGAATTGTATTCGCCACATACTCTGATCTCTGTTCTCTTCGAAGATGATTGATAGGGCCTTTCAACCATCGGTAGTGTCTCATACCAGGGCGGGAAGACCACCCATTTATTTGATCATTGTTGAGGCCTTCGTAACTTCCTTCGAATAATATATTTGGAACACCATCAGGAGTTGTTCCTACCTCTAGCAAAATCATCAAACATCGGGAGTTCTTTCCCAAATCGTGATACCAAACGCGTTGTATCTCACCATCTATTCGAGGAAGAACATGTCGTTCTTGAAGATCTTCATCTCGATTGCGTCGTCTTGAAGGTTGTGACAATCGTAAAGTCTCATCTGGCAGGTCAACAAATGAAGGCTCTTGAGTTGAATCCGCTGGTTGTTGGTTCTCCATCTCTTGAGCGCCACTACTACAACGAAGCTACGAACAAGAATTGAAAGTAGAATGTTATCTTAC